AAACCCAGCAGCCTGCCCTAGCCACCTGCACCCTGGCCACTGCACTCCACTTCCTCTCTTGAAGAAAGACACTAGAACTCTTGGCACGCTGACCTTGGCTCCCAAGATGAAATGACGTCTAAGACCAGCTTCTGCTGCGCAAGCATGGGGCCTAAGGACAGCAGCATGACAAAACTCCAACGCTACTGTGATCATTTGGTTTTATTTAAAACTGTATCACCATGTATTCCTAACATTTATTCCTAGCCTTCTGAAAGAGAAACTGGGCGCCATAAGCTCACATACCCAATTCCAAACCAACTGATCTTGGCTCTCTTTTCCCTCTACCGCTTTTCTATGAGGCAGCTCAAAGATCTGCTTCCCTGTTGTTTTGCCTGTGCTGCTGTGACAGCACTTATTCCCAGCTTGCTGGCATCAATCCCGGCACCACAAGCTCAACATGTCCAAAACTAAGCTCATCTTGCTCTTCCCCCAAAACCCAATCACCAGCCTGTGTGCCACCAGACTCAAGGCCTCTATATCCTCACGGCCTCCGTCCTTGTCTGATAAATGTCAATCGAGCTACTAAATCCATCACCAAATCCATCTCCTCTCCACCCCCTCCCACCCTCCTGGAAGGCCCTCACTATTCCATGGGACGGCTCCAAAGCCCGCGGCCTGGTTTCTCGAACTTCAGCCCAGATAGGGTGTATCAACGTCACCTGTAGGGCTTAAGTGTCTGAGTTTCAGGTGTGAGATGGAGACTTTATATTTCTCACAAGAACCAGCTGATGATAATGATGATGATGCCGCTCCTCAGGATCCCTGCTCCTCCTTCAGATCCCCCTCCCTCCCTTCTCATCACATGGGAGTTCCTCCTGAATCCTGTCTTCAGAGGCTGGCTTAAGCCTTTTAGCATCTGAGAGTGTAGGCCTGCAATAACTAAATGTGGGCAGTAAAAGCTACTCCTCACCAAGGACCTGCCATCATCAGCTACATGATCTCTGTCACTTTGCAGTTAAAACAAACCTATGAAATACACATTACTCCAAACCTTATAGGGCAATTCCGTAAAAAAATAATAAAAATCAAGACGCAGGATGGTTAAATGATTTCTAAATTCCACAATGACTATTTGGTTTTGTGTATTCATTAAAGGGGACCCTCTCCTCAGACACACTTTGTTACCACACTAGGATGTCAAGGAGAGAACTAGGAAGGAAAGCCACGTGTTTTCTTCTCGGGATGGACATAAGGAGAGAACTAGGAGGAAACAAAACACAGGGCCACCTTTTAGAGAGGCACAACTGAGTGGGCCAACTACTGACTTCCAAATGAAAAAGAACTTCCAAAGATATCCCTGAATTTTAAGGCACTTTCCCTTATGCCACCCCTTCTGGTTCTCATAAAAACCCCTCTGAGGACACGACAGCATGGTCCCACCATCCTTATCTCAAACAGCACAGCTAACTCTCAGCTAATAGAACCAGGGATGGAACCCGATGAAGACATGGACCATGGCTTTGCCTTTAAGAGTCTTGTCGTTAGCACCTCCTAAGTGAGAAGAAAAATGCAGTGTGACACACTATCCATATGAATAAGACTCAGTTCCTGCCCTCAACAGAGTCAACCTACTCACCTGTCTAGAACAACGCAGTTCCTGATGGCGAAGGCTTTGGAGTCAGGCAGACCAGCCCATAGGTTTAAAATCCTCAGATCCTAACTCCACTGTGTTTTACATACCCTTTGATGCTGGGCTGTAACTTAATCTCTGTGAATCTTAGAGTCCTCATTTATAACAGAGATGATATACCACAGAATCGTTGTGAAAATTAGAGATAAACTCCTGAGAAGTACCTGAGACTATGCTTAGCATGAAATATATACTAAATAGTCAAAAGTGTCTCATGTTATTAGAGCTGCTGATATAGGCCCAAGTACAAACTCTAAAGCCCATAATAACAAAATGTCAGTGGAATGGCCTTTCCCCCTCTTGTTTAGAGCATTAAAATGATAGGCCTGCATGGCCAATTAAAATATGGGGCTGTCTGGGGGAGGGTGAAGGATGAGTCACACTTCTGGCTTGAATAGTGCCAATGACCAAAGTGGGAAAGCAGACAGAAGGAAGGGAGTGAGGGGACTTGGAGAGGGGGGGGAGGGTTAGAGGGTCAGGAGGCAGGCAATAATTAGAAGATAAATTAGTTCAGTTTGGATATCACAAGTTAAGAGAACATATGAGTCATCCAATTAGAAATGCCTATAAGACTGCTTGAGATGAGGGTGAACCGAAGAGAGACTTGAGGGCCATTAACATGTGGGTGGTAGTTGAAGTCATGGGAGCTCTGAGGTCTCCCCAAAGAGGCTGAGCAGACTAAAGAAAACCACCAAGGATGAAAGCCCAGGAATATTTAAAGGCAGACATAGCAGGACCTAGGAAGAAATGAAAAGAAAAGCAGTCAAGAATGATGCACAGGGCCAAAACCGGTTTGGCTCAGTGGATAGAGCATTGGCCTTCGGACTGAAAGGTCCTGGGTTCGATTCCAGTCAAGGGCATGTACCTTGGTTGTGGGCACATCCCCAGTGGGGGGGGTGCAGAGGCAGTTGATCGATATTTCTCTCTCAACGATGTTTCTAACTCTCTATTGCTCTCTCTTCCTCTCTGCAAAAAATCAATAAAATATATTAAGAAAAAGAAAAAAAAAGAATGGTGCACAGGAACCCAGAGGAGAAAGTTGCAAATGAGGAGTGCTACAGAAAAGTCATGTTAAGAGTCCTATCAGAGGCCAAATGCAACCTTCACAAGAGCAGTTTCCATGGTGCTGCGGCCATGGAAACCAGATGATAGGTCTTCTGTAAGGTCCCTTCTCAACGGCAAAATCCTGTGATTTCAAAATAGAAACTCCCCATTTTCATTAAGCGCATCATATTATTAAAACCTCACCCAAGAACGGGCTGTAAGATTTTCTTTCGTAGAAAGGGATTTAGTTAAAAACCACAAAAGCCATTTAAAAATTATCTTTCCTAGTAAGCTCCTACCTACTTAAAGTTGGTCCCAGGGAAGGAGGAAAAAAAATTAGCTAACTCTCTGCCACCCAAAAAACTGGAGAAGAAAAAAAAAAGTATAACTTACTAAAAAAATGTCCTGTTCAAAAAAAATCTCTAAAGGGCAATACACTTAAATTGCTATTTCAATGTTACTTTCAGAACTGCGTTACCACAGGTCAAGAGGCTTTGGCTTCAGTATGCAAATCTATGCATACTTTGGTAAAATTCCATGCGAGCAGAGTCCCACCTGGATTTCTAAATAAACCTAAGCTCCTGTTAAATATAGTAAATTGTTCTTCAATGTCCTTGTACACTTACAACTGTAGAAAGTGTTGTCACAGGCAATTTTAAATTAAAGTTACAAAATGGTTTCTGCGATGCAAATTGTGGCACAAGGGAATGTTTGGGTTGGCAGTATAAACCGGTGAAACTAGTTAGGAGAGTTCGAAAATAATCCCCTCCCCCCACCCCAAACATCTGCTCAGACTAAGAAAGAGGTTTTTGCTTTTTGTGTTGTGTTTTTTTAAAGTCTATTCCACATACAAATATTTTTCAAGGAGTTACACACAGCATCTTCTGAGGAGCCTGAAACTCCACGCCTGAAACTCCAACCTGGCACACCTGGGCGTGTCTCCGTATCCCCAGCTCTAAAGCCTCAGGGGAGATTCGGATATGTCCGCCTCCCCCCGCCCCCCCCCACCCCCAGGCTCCTGCGGGAGAAGCTTTGCCTTTCGAAGGACCACCCCCAAAGTTCTGGGGAGCAGTGTGACTGCTCTGTCCTCATGGATGAACAGGGCCTGGCAGGAGGGGTGAGTGCAGAACAGGAAACCCTGCTAGCAAGCCACACCAGACAGATGGCAGCGTGCACCTGCGTATCACACGGGTGCCTCAAGAATTCCGAGGTTGGGAAGCAGCTTTGACATTGACCCCCACACCTCCTGTGGAGGAGCCATTTCCGAGAAATGGACCAGGGAGTTTTCGGCCGCCCCCGTCAACCATTCTGTCCTCGGATTCCCACCCCATTGCCTGGACTGGGAGCAGCTGAGCGTACAGGAGGACGGCCCTCCACGCTGTGCTCACTGCTTAAGCTGGGGCTGGAGACTGCTCTCAGCCAACTCTCTCTCTCTCCGTAGGGGAAGGAGGAAATGGTTGAGCCCCACTACATTCTACCCATTGGAGACAGGGAATGCAAATGAAAGATGAATACAAGAAAAATGACCCACTAGGAGCCCCCAGTCTTACTGGACCCCTTGAAATAGGTACTTCTTTTTCGCAACAGAGAGGCAGGGCTGCGGCATAGGAAAACCACCGGCAGAAGGCCAGCAGCTGCCCTGAATAACGTAAGGTGACCAGATGTCCCGCTTTTGGCGGGACAGTCCCGATTTTAAACAATTTGTCCCGCAGCATTTTTAAAAAAGTCCCGATTTTTGCCCAAAAATCGGGACTTTTTTAAAACGCCGCAGGACAAGGGACAAATTGTTAAAAATCGAGACTGTCCTGCCAAAAGCGGGACGTCTGGTCCCCTTATCCTAATGTGCCCGCTGTAATGGGTGTGGCCCTGAAAAGCCAACGGGGGAGAGCAGGACGGTCAGGAGGGTTGTCAATGCCCCCTTGTTTGTGTCCTGGGAGCTAAGGAGGGGCTGGTAATCAAACCTCACCGAGTTCCTTGTGGGGAAGGGGGGACGGGGAATGGGAGAATAATGATTAAAAAAAAAAAAAAAAAAAAAAAAAAAAAAGACAGCCGTGGATCAGTTGTGCTTCTTGGTAAGGCAGAGATACCAATCATTCACTCAACACACGTCACCTGTTCTTGGTGGGAAAGCACTGTGACGGACACTATTGAGACCAAGTAAAATTAGAAAGGTCTTAAAAGAACGAATTGAAGCATCCATAGTATAAAGAGGGCTTTCATATAGTAGTACCTCAGACGCTGTTTAAATTGCCCTTAAATTCGTATGAATAAAAACCAGGTTTACCTTCAAAACCCTCACCGTGTTCAGAAAGCGGCGTGCCTCGGAAGGGCCGGTCTGTGGGTGCACTCGCCTCGCCTCACCCCGGCTCCGCTGGCTGGCGACAGAGAGCCACTGTCTCCCTGGAGCTCCTGCCAAGTTCCTCCGGACAAGCCGGCCACAGAGAGCTGGGAACCTGGGGAAAAGAAAACCCGTCAGCACACTCACACGGGAGACACGCAGCACAGAGTGTGTAACACCGGTGACCACCTCCTGCAAGTCCCCACGATGCCACGGTGGAGAGGAGAGAGACAGCGGCCCATCCACGGGCTGTTCACCAAGGCAACAGCAGGGCGACGGGCCGGCAAACCCGAGAAAACTTCTGAAACCTGCTCAAGGTGACCGGGGACCTTTCCTGAAAGCCCTGTGCCTAGAGCAAGGCACGGAAGGGTCCCACGGACCTCCACCACCATCTCAGGTGTTTCTCTTAAGGGGTGCTGGTGGGGTTAAAGGCCGGCACATAAGGAAATGAAATGTTTCAGGTTTAAGATAAGAAGCCCTCTAACACTCTCCCTTCCCATATCTCCTGCCTCCCTGCTCACAGGTCCAGCTCTCCTCACTCACCACCTCCAAACACCGCCCGCTCTCCCCGCAATGTCCCGCTGTAGCTCTCCCTGTGCCCTCATCCTGAACGCCTCCCTCCCACTCTGGACATGACCCTCCCCCAGGCTCAGCTCAGGTGCCACCAGTCCTCGCCCTGCACGCAGAGCACCTGGCTGGGACCTGTGTTCCGGCGTTTGCTTCCTCCTGCCTTGACCTCCCCTCCTACCCGTTTCTCCAGCGCAGGTCTCCCCGGCTGGCTGTCCCCTACGCCTTCCTCCTGCTCTGAGCCCAGGTAGGGGCGGAGGCTCCATCGTGTGTGTTGACTAAAGGATTCCAACGAGAGGTTTCCCATGACTGACTCAGTCTTTCCCTGGGAAACACACTGTCCCACCAATCCCGGGGCAAGTTCCTTTCCAAGGACTCAGACTCACAGACAACCCAGCCCTCACCAGAGTCCGCGGCTGGGCTCCATTGCCAAAAAGGACAAAAAACGTGGGCAGTTGGGTTTGGGCCAACCAAACCCCTTTGGCAGGGCACGGGAGCACTAATAGGTATGTGCACGCAAACGCTGGCTGAGGCCTTCCCTCCCTTTTAAGTCTGTTTAACGAGGAGCTCCCGATGCCACACCCCCTCACCCACCAGTGTTTCCAACGAAGATGAGAAGGAGGGCAGGGTGCTTTGTTCTGGGAGGAGACCAGGTGACCCCTGGGGCGGGTTCCGTCTCCCCCCAGCTCAGGTCAGCAGAGCTCCCAGTCACGCAGAATGCAGAGGAGACAGCGCCACGAACCAGGTGGTCCCCCGAGTCCCACGTGTGACGTTTCCTCCGAGAGGCCTCATGTCCTGCCTGCAGCCCCGGCTTCCAAGCACCCGGGCTCCTTCCTCGCCAGCTCACTGACCCCTCGGGCAGTGTGGAAGCATTGCCTGCAGGACAGCACCACCTGCTGAATAGCAGCTCGCATATCTGAGGCGTCCTCCTATTATTGGCTGACAAAAGAGGATCACCTGCCGCTTTGCTGAGGGCCCTGGCAGCCAGCGAGGGAATCATCCATCTCCCAGCTGCCGCCAGCAGCACTCAGCCAAGCTCCTTCCGCAAAGCACAGCTCAGCAGAAAAGGCGGCTCCTCATTTGTCCCAGCACTACACAACGGACAGACCGGTATAAAGGGCATCTGTCCAGCCGCAGCATGCCCGCTGCCAGACAGACCCTCTCCCCAGAGGACCCACGGAGGAGCGTGCCCTTCACAGTGGATGTCACAGGTCACATTCACACATGCTTTCTCTCTGGCCCCTTCTCCACCTACAGCGGCGCGGGTAGGGCAGGGGACGCGTGCTTTCTGACTCTAAGACCGCAGAGGCACCACTATAAATTACAGACCTGCAGAGGTCCCAAGGCGAGGCGGCTCCTGCAAGAAGGACGGTCCCCACAGCCTGTTTTTGTGGGGATGAGATCACAGAGCGTAGATTCTGAGCTTGGTCCTACATGGGTTTTAAGGGCTGTATTCGGTAATTACAGAAAGGAGACAGGGAGGTCAACCAGACCAGAGGAACTCTGGGGGGTGTTTGAGAAGTTACTTATAACTACAGTTAGGTCACTCACTGGCTGGACGCAGGGGAGAGACTGTGCCTTGCATTTTCCTTTTTTTTTTTTTTTTTTTTTTTTTTTGTCCTTCAGAATCTATTTTAAATTGGCAAAAAGATGGAACTTTTTACTCTTTTAATTTTGACATTTCTCTGTTCAAAGGCCTTTTCGGTGCACAATCCAAAACGTGGGCCCAAGGAAGTGTTGAAAAAGAAGCATTAGGCCACAAAATAGTCTCAGGGGAAATGCAAAAAGATGACAAAATACACTTGCTGAAGGAATTTTTATGGAACCAAAACACAATAGTTTAGAGACATCACTGGCAAAAGGCATTATTTCAAAATATCAATGTGCGTTTCAAATCGTGAGGCTTTGAACTTCCTTGAGACAGGTGTACTGGGAGTACCTGGAACTGTTACATCTGTCAACTACCGGAGGTGTTTCTTCGGCCCTCACCGCCCATCAGAATCTCCTGAGGAGCTTTACAAGCCCTGGTGCCCAGAAGAGCGGAAACAGAACCTCTGGGCATGGCGCCCGCATATTGGTACTCTTTAAGGCTGGCCCGCTGATTCTGAGGCACAGCCCCTGACCTATTCCTAGGTGTTTCCTTTTCCTCTTGGGAGGATGGGAGAAATACAAAGGATTGAGAGAAGAGCTGGAAGAAATTGAAGTAACAACCTGCCGGTGAGATTGCTGGGGCAAACTGAGGCCTGGGGGTGCACCCCACCCCCCACCCCACAGAGGGAAAAGACAGGACTGGGGACAGACTGGCTTGTTCTTTACCTAAGTGAGCGCTGGCTAGCCCCTATCGTTGAGTTGGGGAGAGGTATCAAAACTCACCTGTAAAGAACATTCCTTGGTCAAGTGTTGACCATGTGAGAAGTGATGTAACACGATGGCTTTCACGTGTGAAGAAACTACTAAGCTATTTACCACTGTGATTTCTCTTGATTCTTCTAGTAACAGCACTAGCAGCTTCTGGGTGTGTTTTACTGGCGATCCCCATTTTCTTTTCTTTTTTTTTCTTTTTTTTAAAAAATATATTTTATTGATATTTTACAGAGAGGAGTAAGGGAGAGAGATAGAGAGCTAGAAACATCGATGAGAGAGAAACATCGACCAGCTGCCTCTTGCACACCCCCTACCGGGATGTGCCCGCAACCAATGTACATGCCCTTGACCGGAATCAAACCTGGGACCCTTCAGTCCACAGACTGACGCTCTACCACTGAGCCAAACCGGTTTTGGCAATCCCCATTTTCTTATTCACCAAATGTGCCCAAGCACACACTCGTCATAGGATTTCTGCCTGGGGTTACAATGCCTAAAGCACAGAGTTTTCCTAGGTATAAAACCAAAGGCTCATAAGAGGGCTGAACCCGAACTTGATTCCAATTAGCATCCTGACGTTCTCCGATGTGACAGTGACCGGGTAAGAAAGAGAGCCTGTGCCCCGGGTGAAGGGTGAGGACTGCGGGAACACACTCTCCAGCTGAGGAGCTAAGTTCGCACTCGCTTCCACATTCCCTAATTCTTAGTCACCTGCCCTCTATTTGCTCTGCAATCCAGGGACAAAATCCAGGCTGTCCACCTTGGATGCCTCCTTCCCATTTCTGTCTCTCGTGGGGGAATTAATCAGCTTTGCCTTACTTATCCTTTGCCACCTGGACCAGAAAGACCTGGACTACTCTTGGGCACCACCCCAAACTAAAGAAAAGCCCAAGAGTCTACACTGTAACCAAGCACACAGACACTATAGTCTGGAGCCCTCATCAGTTCTGCCTTTGAAAGGGACTTACCAGATGTCCCATAGCGGCTGCCACTTCCTAACTGGGGTTTCATCAACTTACCCTCCTCCTTGGCCTCCCAAGGTACCTGGTCTCTCCCATGTGTACTGGACTGCACGGCCCCCTACTCAAATACCATTTGAAGCCCCACACTGCTGGCTCCACGTTTCTGACTCGAGTCACTCTCTCTGAACACACCCTCAATGCAAAACGTCTCTACCACTTTCAGCTGAGGGTCTGAGGTCTATTAGTTATCTCTCCCAAAAGAATATGAAGCTTCATGAAGGCAGGGTCACCATCATCCCGCCGTATCTTCCGAGGGGCCCAGCACATCTTAGGTTTCAAGAACAGTGGTTGACAGATCATCGAAGCCCCTGCCTCAGTCCCAGCTTTTTCTTTCATTCACCTTCTTCTCAATTTCCCTGAGAAAACTTTCATTCATTCCTTCCCCTTCCAAAATTGGCAAGGGTGGGAGCGAAGATGTGCATATCAGTGGAGGAAAGAGAGAAGCAGTCATAAGCTAGCAACCTCAACTATCCAGTAAACAGCTGGGAACCAAGATTTAGTCTTTCCAGCTGCCAAAATCTGTAGCAACATTCAGAAGAGAACTTCCCGACCTCTTTAAAGTTCCATCCAACAGCTCTTTCCCCGGCTCTCCCCAGAGCTATTTCACTCGCCTTTTAGATACAATTCTAGCAGGAGGGAAATATTTGGTTTCCAGGGTCAACATAAGTGAAGAGGGTGGAGAGCGAGTGCTAGATCAAGGCACAAAGACAGCCCCCAGAAGCTAAGACTGACAGGAGACAGCTTATAAACCCAAAACCATAGATTAGAGGCTGTTAGAGTTTAAATAGCCTTTCTATCCCCAAACGTGTCCAAGGACACCAAAAACAAAGCATTTCGAAACAGTACAATTAGTGGCTCTGAGCTTACCCCAGGCATGGAGAAAGGTTATTTCACTTTCCGTGGGTCCCCAGCCATTCTAGCCAGGGGGAGACTATGCCCACAAGGCCAACCTCAGCCCCTGACACCCAAGTGTCCTAAAAAATGGGGCAGGGCACTGTATCCAACTGCAATGCACTGTCTCTAGGTAGTCTCAAATAGCCCTGAGCAGGGGGACAGGCTTTCAAAAGGAGGCACAGAACCTTCAATATTGCCATTGTGATCTGGAACCTACCACCTACCTACTCCCAACCTCAGCCCACACTCCTCACTTCTCTTGTGGTAC